CCTTAATTAGAAACATAATAAAAGATAAAAAAGTAGTTAATTAAAGAATTTATAAAGAGGAGGTGGGGCATATTTCTTCATTCAGAATATTCGTCAGGGTCCTTAACAAAAATGAAACCTTTACACCAGCGTTCTTATATTATCCTATACATTTAGTTAGATAAATCGCGTTTTAAGTTACATATCGTAAAAAAGTGCAAATGTAAATGTGCAATAACGTTATACTTACAGCTGTTGAAGTTTATTATAAAAAAGCTATGGATACATGTTTAATGTAAATTAATATACATTGAATTGAATACTTTTGTCATTAAAATATTCAACATAAATACCCGAAACAGGAGAAATAAGTGATCGAAAAATAAAAAACAAAAAACGGACAACAATAACAAAAAAAAAACCCATATAAACTTGAATTATATAAGGTTAATCAAAAGAAATATGTATGCATTGGAGAAATCAACGACTTGTATAGAAATACAAGAAATATGTAACATCAGTATACATGAAATAATATATAAATATATAGACATTTAATTTAAGCCTTTAAAAAAGATTTTCTTCTTAAAAATGAATTTTAATATATTTCATCTTATACATGTACTTAGCTTTTGCGATGAAGAAAAGCATCATTTGAAAGATGGTAGAACTTTATTGCCCAATAATGTTTAATATTGTATAACTTTGCGAATTACTGCGTTTTCTTAACAGAAAATTGCATTTATACATGACATTGTCTTGAAAATTTAATCAGCACTATGTTTTGAAATACTCAGATAAAAAAGGAGATGTATACATTGTACGTTTGAAATGAGATAAAAATTCATAATAAAGGACTGCTGCAATTTGTCCAGTATAGACTAATCTTCGGCAATCGAAGTGATGAGCTAAGTAAACTTAACAACCCAAGCTTAAGAAATGATGCTTGGTAGTATAGCGACTGATATTTTTTAATTATCCAATGAATTACAAGTAAAATGGTTTCCTGCGGGGAACATTTTTAATGATATAAAGATATTTCATTTAACTATTTTCAGCATTGTTTGGGGGGGGGGGATAAATAAACGCGCGGTTTTATCAGGAATATAGTTGACAATAATCGATCAATATAGAAGAAGGTCTTTGAAAACTGGTGATCGTTGATGACCGGAGAAGGTCGAACATAAAACAATTATTTCTTTTTAAGAAAATGATTAAATAGGACTACCATTTCATGAATAATTCCGAGCAAAAAAAGTAAACACACAAGTTTACGCAGAAAATATCTCTATTTATTCTGGTAGATGCCACTACGAATACTTTAATTTTGTAGATTTTCAGTATAAACAATTTATTTTTTGTAAAATTTGAGATACATATTAAAGAAACATTGATAATTTTCAAACACATCATTCAAGTTTTTCCACCTTAAATGGTAAAATAATTATAGAAATTTAGAAATATCACTCAATAGTTTTTGTTCTTAATTAGGTGTCACTCTGACTATTCCCTAGAGGTAAATCCGTAACGTACCGCCAAACGGTATTTAGCCAGGTTTTCGAAAAGGTCAATTAACCAATCATGTACGGTTTACAGATCACATGCTCCTCCATGTACCGAAAACAGGTCACGTGCTCCTCCATGCCTCAAAAGTAAAACGCGTACCAATACCCTGCGGTCTCCAGACCGCAGGGAACAATTGGTACATTTTTAAAACTAAATTTCCTTAAAAATGTAAATGTATCATATGTTTCAACTGTGTGTGCTTGTGATAGTTTGAGCAGAAAGCTTTTTTTAATCGTCGGGAGATGATTTCTAATTACTACAGCTTGTGGTGACTGCAGCTTGTGGTGAATAAGATTAAACATCTAGTTTACATTAATCAGATATAATACTGAGTTTGGTGTTGGGGTAATTGAGACCTATTCAGACATGCTCTTAAATATGAAACTACAATATCTTATAATACACCAAGTTCATTGTCAATTTCTGCCAAAGGACTACATGCTTATGTTATAATATAAACGAGTACTAGGTGTATCCTAATAATTTCTCCGAGTCTCATAGAACGATTTTAAAAATTAAAAGATTGTTTCAAGGTTAATAATGTATTTGTTTCACAACTTTTTATACATTTTACTCGTATCATCATGCAGCGCGTAAAGTCAATTAACTTATATTACAGCCACCACAAATGGCTTAATATAAAATTAATTGACACGAAACTTTGAATCTTTGTGTAACATTTCTAAGATAAGGAAAGTCATTTTATCTAAAAGTAAAAACTTTTTGTCCTTGTTTTAATTAAACACATGTCTCTTTGTCTTCGTCTCAACAGAAACTGTAAACGAATTATCCATTCTAACATTTTTTTTATAAAAAAGAAGGTGTGTTCCATTTATAGACGGCAACTTATTGTTTAAATTTAGAGGAGTAAAATGTTTCTCGTCTTTCAAAATGTCTAGAAATACAATCATCCGTAAGAAACACGAATTATTTGTTTTTTGTTTGTCAAAATGTATTAAGATTGATGTCGAAATGTTTCTTTACAACACATTTTCTTCTTCAGATTTTCGAACGAAACAGGAATCATGATTGAATTAACCGATAAAGCATTTTCACTGAACTTCACTTTCTTTTTGTCTTAACATTTCCATAGAAAGTTCAATGGTTTCACGATGCAAAATATCATAAATTACATCAGAATGTTAATGTAGTTTTTTCATAGTTTCATAAACAAGGATGCCACAACGTTATCTCAGTTATGTCAAGAAATGTTAAATATGTTTAAATCGCTTAATCAAACAGAAAGGAAGGTCTCAGAACATTGTCTTTACGGGATAATTATAAATACAACTCACAATCAAGAGCAGAACAACTTGAGTCATGTTAAAATAGCTATCGTTTTCACACTATGAGAACTTCATTAATTTATGGGAATAAAATGTAAGTCCTGGATATTTTACATATCAATTACCATTTATTATCTACTTTGATTTTGTCTCATTTTGAAGTATGTTTAGATAATATTAATATTGAACAGTTTACCGGCTGTACAAAAGCTTCTTTCTTCATTACGCAATTGCGTGTTTTATGAATTTAACAAAACGAAATATCTTTACATATAAATTGCAAAATACAACACATGCATTTAGCGATTAAAATTATTTGAAATATGATAACAGAAAAAGCGACATAGAGGAAGACCACCATAAATATAAACAATACTCATAACATTTTTCGCTGGTCAACGAAAGCTAAATTTATTATATCGCATGACTTAAAGTGGGAACAAATATTATTACTTCTTTCGATTTTATGTATAGTTTTGTAAACAAAGTCAAAATATTGTTGACAGATGAAAAAAAGATAGCTAGGCATTTATATTATAACAAGTGGACCTATGAAAACCCTTCACTTGCATACAGAGCACGTTTTATTCCAGGCAACATTATTTTAGCATACATTGTGTTTTTGATATAAAACTTTGAGAACATTCGCCATTTTGTTTCCTCCGAAAAAGTCAGACAGAAACGATTTCTATATACATATGTTTGTTCGTAAAAAGGCACCATGAAAAATGTGATAAAACAATTTTCCAGCTTTTATGCTTTCTTGCCTGATTGACTCATACATTATTCAAGAGAGACGCAGTTAAAGGTTCCATTTTACGACGAGTTACAATTTGTAAATGAATAATTCATATGCAAATTGTATTTCAATCATATGTTTCAAAAAGGATTAGTGAAAAACGTCCTTTTATTATTTTGAGTCTGCAGTGAGTGATTTCGGAGAAATATGTATTCATAGATTATTTTTGCATATCAAAGTTAGTTTTTTAAACAAAACAAAAAAAAATCGCAAAATATTCTAACATTTCACACGTACGTGTATTACAAATCACTAAAGAAAAATGTTGAAACTTCTATATTTAGGAACTTTCCATACGGCAGAAATGCCCCATGAAGACGAAAGTATGAACATTTGAATTTGTGTCGCTGTTTTGTATACAACATGTATTTAATGTTAAATTGTTTATTAAAATGAAGTAATGACCTGTTTGATAACTATCTACTAAATAATTTGTAAAAAATATAGATTTATTTACGAGGCTAATGACATTTGCTTTGTAACATGTGTGCTGAGCATGTCTGACGATGTACGTCATACTTACGCAATGTCTTTAAACATATGGCATATTTTAACACATTTTAATATTGATTTCATTAGAAATTAACAGCTAAGAATATATAAACATTTGGTCTTTAACCTTAAGATAAATAAAAGTTCTCAACACAAGTTGATGTTAACGACATCTGGTTTATAAAGGATGTTTGAAATGTTCTATAACTTCAAAGGCATTAATCTCATATCTTCAAATAAAGCAACAACAACAACCAAAACCCATAAGATTGATCAAAGCAAAAAAAGGTTATATATTGAATGCACATCAACCTTTGCTGTATTGCTTTTGAATAACATTATCTATTCAAATTTAAAGTTATGATATTTTCAACTTACACTTTAATAATCAAAACGCCTCATACTCGTATGTAAAGATATTGTTTCGTTTCATGTTGTTATGGTTTTAAAAGGGTTGATAAAGAAATTCATGAAAAAATACACAATGCTTACATTGTGGTGTTTCGTTTATATCACATAATAAATGTAGAATGATACAAAATGAAAGATAAACGAAGTAAAATATATATTGTTTTAATCAGAATGTTCCTGCTTTATTCTTGTTATATATTTGCTTTATTAAAATTTAACTTGGTGTATTAAGAATAAAAGTATGTAAGTGCTTTGCTTTATTCATACCTAAAGACCAGGCCTTAAAGATTGTGTAAACCTTACATCTTGCAATTACGTAGAATAATATCACCAACGTTCTAAGTGACGATTCTTAAAATATAGTATCTAGCTAAACTATAAATTAGTGTTGCCCTAGACACAATTAGTTCTGACATTGACATTTGTCCTGTGAAATAGCAGTTTCAAATAATATGAATGTCTCTTACCTTGAAAGCTTCTGAAAGATTTACAATTTCCCGATGCTCCGCTACGTATCCCATTATTCCCTTTCCCCATGGCACACGTATACTGTTGTCCGATGTCTTTGTGGGCATGATCTGTGTTCCCGAGTGCACATCAAATATTTTGGACACAAGAGATTGTTTATTACTCCGTTTACCTTCAACAAAGAACACAGACGCATGATCGGCGTCAGAAAGCACACTGATATTTGCAACCATTTTCTCACTTAAACTCTTAAGGTTAAGGTCGTTTGAAATATCCTTTACAATATCCATGAAAAATTCCATTTCGTTTGTATGTCTTTCCTCTCTTTTTCTGTCAATGTCTTTACTAGGATACCGCGGCAAACGAACTTTTGACTGTATCAATAGGCTTAAGATATTGCTCGAGTTTGGTGGAAGTGATCGGAACATTCTCATTTCTTTCAAATTAATTCTGCGATCATCCGCTGACTGTTCGGACATAGCAGACGGCTCATATGTCCGGAACATGTTTCTGTATTTCGATTTTGCAAAGTCATGTCTCAGGTATTTTTTCGAATTACTTCTTCCATGCTTTGCAAAGAAAACGTCTCCACGGGCGTCTATTGGTGACGTTGGGTCACTATTATTATCGTCTGATCCTGAACCGCGTTTTGGCATCACAATTTCTGTCGTTGCTGGAGAGTAACCATTTCTTATCAGCCATTTATTAATAAGATTGATATCAGCCTTTCTAAGAAATATTTCTTCCATGGCTTCTGGCTTCTGGTCGAACCAGCTTTCGACATCAACCTGTCTATAGTTTGGAACAAGTATGCCGGTCATGGTTACCATTACAACTTTTCTTCTCTATTTTATATTTTCAGTAAGATATTTTATTCCATATATTTTAATTTCTGATTTCCACTCCGTTATGAAAACTTCATTTTCATTCATCAAATCACCTTCCTGAATATTTACTTTTGTGGTTTCATTAACATCATTCCGTAAATGTCAACCTTAAATAATGAATGCTTTGTAACTTATTAAATCATTATTTACTTTTTTAATAATTCCTGGTCTTACGAAAACTGAATTAAAGAATTCACTTCTTTCACTCAAACTAATTTGCTTACTTCTGATACTTTCACGATTGATCGTCGTTTTTACCTCACATTTTTAACAACGTTTGTAATCGTCTTTGCCAATATTACCACTAGAGCGTTCTACGCTGTACTGTTATTCAATTTCCAATAAATTCACATTATCATCAAGTTTTACGTTACAGCTTCTCTAGTTGTAAAATATCTTTATCGACAGTGGGTTATGAATGTCGTAAATTAATTTTCTATAGTTTTACAAATATTTGCCACGAATTTGCACTTCAGTTTGATATACGGGTTCTTGCTTCTTTCTTATCTGAAATTCAAATGCAATAATGTGTATCAAATCCGATGAAAATATTTTATACAATTTAGTATGACACAATAAAGTTATGCAAAAACTAATTGAATTGTGTCACTTTTATGAAGATAATAGTATAACTTATATATATTTTATAAATCCAATTATGGATGCATTTTACTTTTAATATACAAAAATAAATGTTTGTCAGGTTGATATTTTTAATTAAAACATAATTATGTATATAATCCAGATAAAAATTGTAGTGCAATCAAAAAATGCGTTATATTCAGTTTAAAAACCATTAGTTGAGGTCAATATAATATCTATATAGAATACATAATTTAAAGCTAAATGTAACTATTGCAGTAGGATTGCACTTTACGTATTTAGAAGAAGTTAGTTTTATAAGAAAGAATTCATGTTTAATGTCTTGTTAAAGTCAATGAAAAATAGTCATCTGACTAAAATAGTTGAACAGAGTACTAAGCTTAGGCGGTACATATTAAAAAAAACTTTAATCTATAGACATATTCTGAATGTAACAGCTAAAATAAATAAACCTTGTATCATAAGCTGGAAAAAGCGTGATTGAGCTTGCAATCTATTTTATTGATAAAATTAGTAAAAATGATATTGTTATATTATCGGAAGCTTGGACGGATAGTGAGTCTAACATTGATATTGACAACTTTACATGTTATAATTTCTATAGAAAATTCAAGCATAAAAGGGCTAAGCGTAACAGTGGGGGTATTGCGATATATATAAAAAACAATATAAAATCAGGTGTTTCAATCATTAAAAACCATTTTGATACAATAATATGGCTTAAGCTTCATAGAAATGTTTTCAATTTTACAAAAGATGTATTTTTGGCAGGTGTATATATATGGGGAGATGATTCTCCGGCTGCAAGTGTAAACAATGTTGATTTATTTAACCTATTAGAGCAAGATGTTTTTAATTATGAACAGATAGGTAGCGTCCTTGTGGCAGGGGATTGGAACTGTCGTGTGGGTAACAAGCCAGATTTTATTAGATGTGACAAAAATATTTCAAGTATTGATGATATTGACTACTTCCCAGATGAAACCTTATGCAGAACCTCAAGTGACCTTGTATGCAATGCACGTGGCGTAAAACTGTTAGAATTTTGTAAAGCCACCTCTTTACGTTTAGCCAACGGACGATTGGGACATGATTGCGTAACCGGTGAATATACATATTATAGTCGGCAATCATGCAGTACAATAGATTACTTACTGTTAAAAGAAATTGATTTTCATATCGTTCAATCGTTCTCTGTTAACCAGTTTGACTTGTTTAGTGACCATGCATCATTGAGTTTTAAGATATGTGGCGATAAACCACCGGATTATGATGTTTACAATAAAAATCATTACGTTTATTATAAATGGAATGACGATCATAAAATGTTGTTTAGAAGGTCATTGTTGGGAAAAATGAATGAATTTAATAGTATCATGAATGTAAATAATGTTCAAGAAATAAGTACTGTAAATGATTTAGTATCAAATTTTTCTCACTTGATTTGTGAATCAGCTGATTTGTTTTTTAAGAAAAATGTTTATTGTAAGAGTGCAAAAAGGTATGATAACTCTTGGTTCGATACTGAATGCGCTGATGCGAAACGCATATATAAAGAAAAGTTGTATATTTTTAACAATGATAAGTCATGTTTAAACAGATTATCTTTATGTGATTCTAAAAAGACGTATAAAATGATTTTGAGAAAAAGAAAAGAGCATTTAATTTAAAGAAGTCGCAAGAATTAACTATTTTAAAAACCCGTAAACCAAGAGAATTTTGGCAATATTTTAAACAACAAAATAGACGTACGGGGGACGATATATCTGCTAAAGAATTTGAAAAGTATTTTTTTGAAATGTTTAATGAAATAAAAACAACAATCATTCCCGAGGTTGAAACATTTATTGATGACGGAAATACTAATACAAATAACCCTACTTTTGGTGAATTGAACATGCCGATTACCTGTGATGAAGTTCGTGCTGCTGTTCGCAATTTAAATCGTAACAAATCTGCATCGCCAAGTGACAATTTACTTAATGAATATTTTATTGAAACTATTGATATCTTGGTAGGGCATATTACAGATTTATTTAATATTGTTTTTAACGCAGGTTATTTTCCAGAATTGTGGACGCAAGGTTTTATTGTACCTTTGCATAAAAAGGGGGATAATAGAAATGTAAATAATTACAGGGGTATAACATTAATCAGCAATTTTGGTAAATTATTTACTAGTATTTTAACTTCAAGGGTAGAAAAATGGTTTGATGATAATAAATATGTTATCAGACGCCCAGTTCGGTTTTAGGAAAGGGCTCAGCACTGTGGATGCAATTATTTTACATAATTTAGTACAACATATGTTATCTGAAAAATAAAAGATTTCCGTGCGCTTTTGTCGATCTTAAAAAAGCGTTTGACTCTGTGTATAGAAACGCGCTATGGTATAAATTATTTAAGATGGGCTTGGATGGTAAAATTTTAAATATATTTAAAGCTATGTATTCAGTTGTAAAATCTTGTGTAAAACATTATAATACATTTTCTGACTTCAATATATCGAAAGGCTTAAAACAGGGACAAAATAATTCTCCGGCACTTTTCGCATTATTTTTAGAGGATCTTGAATTATTTTTACAAAACCGAATGAATTGTGGTCTCAATATTTATGAATTATGTATTATTGTTTTATTATTTGCCGATGATATGGTGATAGTTGGCAGATTACAAGAAGACTAACAAAAATCGCTAAATACCTTGTATGATTATTGCAATAAATTGGGACTTGAGGTTAATACGGATAAAACCAAAATTGTTGTTTTCCGTAAAAGGGGACAGGTCAAATTATGTGAAAAATGGTATTATAATGGTAAACATAATTGAAGTTGTTAACGATTTTAATTATCTAGGGGTTGTTTTTAATTATACAGGTTCTTTTGTTTTAAATACGCAGTGCTTAGTAGGGAAAGGTTTAAAAGCTATGAGCATTTTATTGAATAAGATAAACAAATTTCATTTAAATCCTCGTGTTTCACTACAATTATTTGATGCCTTTGTTGGCTCAATACTTAATTATGCATGTCCGGTTTGGGGTTTTACTAAATCTAAAGATATAGAAAGGGTACACCTTAAGTTTTGCAAATCAATATTAGGAGTAAAACAATGTGCTAGTAATAATGCAGTGTATGGCGAATTAGGTAGATACCCCTTACATATCAACAGATACGTACAAATCATTAAATTTTGGCTTAAGCTTGTCAATACGGATAATATTATACTGAAAGAAATTTATAGATATACAGTAAGCAATAGTTTGACTGGTGTAAATAATTGGGCTCAAAATGTAAAATCCTTATTAAATGAATTTGGCTTTTCTTATGTGTGGGACAACCCAATAAATATCAAAAGTAGTTTCTTTTTATCTGAATTTAAGCAAAGAGTTATTGATTGTTTTAGGCAAAAATGGCATTCAGACATAGAAAACAATATTGTACTAAACACTTTGTATAGTTATATCAAAAAAGACTTTTGTTTTGAACCTTATTTAAGAAATATTTATTGTAAAGGTATACGTATGAATATTTGTAGAATTAGAATATCTGCTCATAACTTAAGGATTGAAACCGGTAGATACGGACGTAATAGAACTCAAAGAAATGAAAGATTATGCCAATTATGTAACTTACCAGAAATTGAAGATGAGTATCATTTTATTTTAGTTTGTCCATGTTATCAAGATATTCGAAGAAGATTTATCAAGCGTTATTACTATATTAGACCTTCTATGTATAAATTATAGATTTACTACAATCAGATAATAAAGCTATACTTGTAAATTTAGGAAAATATATAGATGTAGCTAATAAAAAGCGACAAGAATTGTTACTATCCGTTGTTAATTCATAACACATTTTGAAATGTTAATTGGTTCAACTTATTATCCTTATTATCGTTAGAAAGATACATGTAATATTATACTTTTGACACTGTTATTGTCACGTCTTTTCTGTTGTTGGTGTTTTTCTTCTTACTGGAACTTTTTTATTTCTATGAATGATAATGAAATTGTGATGTTTTTTTGTTCCTTTATTTGCAGCTGTCTGTTCTCCGTTAGAATGTCATCAGTTAAAACTTTTTATATTCTTCTTATTATTTTTTTTCTTTGCTTTTGTCATGTGACCACAGAATTATTATATTTGTAATTATTGTATGTAACGAGATACTGTAAATGTATAAGTTACCGAAATAAACTATTTCTTCTTCTTCTGTAAATATCTGAGATACTTTGAAGAGGTTTTGTGATTATTTTTCAAACAAAAACAACACTAATACACATTTATGTACATAAATTATTGTCTTATTTTGTTAAGTTACTTTTCTTTGATAATCTTTGATTTTAATTTTTTCTTCAATTACCTAATGTTGCTTTGATGTGATTAAATACATTGTTTATAATTATGCTATTGCTTGAGGCGCAAATGACCATTTATTTTCCCTTCTTGACTCTGGATATTGAAAAACACTTTAATCTGCACTTGTATTTCAGGATCGATACATATAAATGAATTATCATCGTATATTACCTTGGTTTTGATATTTTCTTATTCTTTCCGAGAAATGTAAACAATGGTTATTGCATTAACAATAATAATTTGATCCATGTATCGTAAGGAGTGTTAAATCAAAACATTAATGCTTGTTTTTTTTCAAAGGACGAGTCTTAAGAAAGAATGAAATAATAAATTTTATTATGGCAGGCCATACAAATCGTATTTAATAGTTTGAGTAATATTTAAAATGATGATGTTTACGATGTTTTTTTTTCCAAACGTTATAATAAACCTAAATAATATAAAAAAGAAACACCATAGATTCATATAATTCAACAATTCGACTAACATGTACAAGAAACGTTTTTAAAAAGCGACAATTTATAGATTAGAAGAAATAAACCCAAC